GTCCAGGACCATCACAAAGCTCTTCTTTTCCTTTAACTGGTCTGAAGACTGAATGTCAGCATTGTTGGCGTTGTTGATAATTGATAAAATGATAAAACACTGTTTAGGGAAAAGAAAAATGCCCCTGAATCTCGAGGTGCAAGATCTTGTACACAGAAGAGAATCATCTTAGACAAATATATCAACCTAAGCAGTTCCCCAATTTTTATCATATAGAATTATTGAGAGGAATGTTGTGAGGAATGTAAAGTGTATTTTATGAGCTTAAATATAGGTGAGTGCTGAGTGCCTCTTAGGGACAATAATAATCACTATTATCTTTACAATTTATTTCTATTCTAGGAATTCCTGAGAATTATTTTCAATTCCAAAAAAAATAGGAAGTGTCTATTGATTCATTAAGCTTTTAAAATGTTAGAAAATACACCTAATGTAGACTTACAAAAATAAAATTATGCATAAAATCCAAAGTTGCATATTTGTCCAAATTTATCTTTTTTGATAAATTTGTTTCGGGTCACACCCAATGGTGCTCAGGACTTACTCCTGGCTTTGCACTCTGGAATCACTTCTGGTGGACTCAGGGGACCATATGGGCGCTGGGAAGCCAACACAAATTGTATGCATGCGAGAAAAGCACCCTACTTTCTGTATTACTGCTTTGGGCCCCACATTTATTCAAATTTCTTGACAGATTAAAGATGAATAATTCAAATTTTGGACACAAGCAATTCATTTTACTGTGGAGTGGTGGAACAGGTAGTATGTTATGAGGAGTGTTTGCATCTCATATCTTCAGTAGTAAAGGTGATTATAATAAATTTTTGTCAAAATAGTTGTTTCTTTCAACTATGCCTAACATTATTGAAGTCTAACATATTTTGAAGAGAGTCATGTTTTAAAAAGATGGTAATGTATTCATTTTTTAAAATATTATTTATGCTGATGGCTTTCAACATTCTGATTGATTTTACCCAGGCTAAGTCACAGAGTCAAAGTCTCAAAGAATCATGGGCAGGGAGACCATTTTCCCTCCTGCCATAAGTTAGTGAGGGAAATTTGGATGACAGGGGATTATTTTCAACTTCCATATCTGGAAAAGATAGATACACTTGTGATAAGCTCCACACTAAATAAACTTCTGAGGGTTTCAGATGAACCCTGAAGGTGCATAGATGCAACTTTTAGTAATGAAAGACTTTCTGGATACCTCTTCAATGCAAAGACTGTAAAATGCATTCTAGATAAGTTCTTACACTTAGTATCTTCCATTAAGAAGTGTATTTGGATGACCGGTATTTACCAAGTGCTTAAAAATTATTTACTATTAAAGAATAGTTACAGGGGCTGGAGAGATGTTATGTAGGTAAGGCAGTTACCTTGCATGTGACCGACCTCAGTTTGATCTTTTTTTTTTTTTAATTTATTTATTGAATCACTGTGGGAAAAGGTTTATGTCTCAGTCATGTAAATATCAAACACATTTCCCTTTACCAATACTTATTTTTTCCCATGAAGAACCCCAATAAAACCCCACCCCCACCCCTCCCCGTCCCTGTGAGGCAGATGAATTCTAGTTAACACTCTATCTGCTTTGATTAGATTCATTGTTTCAATAAAAGATTCACCACTATTATTTAGAGTTTACCCCCCCCCCCAAATCAGACATGCTGAAAAAGCATTGTGAAGTGATTTGCTTTCTACGGCTGGGTTCAAGAATTAAATGTTGGTTTTGGATTTCTGCTCTTTTACCTATTGACCCTGGAAGTATTTCTACTGAAAGTCAGATAGTTAAGAAATTGGTTTCTGTGTTCTGGAGTCCTGGCCGTGCTGGAGAGCCGCTCGCGGGGGGCAACCGGTGGCCTCGGTAGGGCGTGAAGGGCGGAACGAAACGCCCCCCTTCCCATGAGGTTTTAGTCGCCCCCACACTCCCGGCTCATACGTGCTGTCCACAAGGCTCCCATGTGGCCGCCATCTTTCTTTCCAGAGAGGAGAGGGCGAATGGGGCAACACCCTTTCCCCTCCGGCAGACTTGATGGCCTGGATCAATGCATAGTCCTTTCACTTTTCTGCTCCAAGCTGCTGGGTTCTGCATTAAGTCCTTGTGCTTCTGGGGCCGTGGCCGTGCTGGAGAGCCGCTCGCGGGGGGCAACTGGTGACCTTGGTAGGGCGTGAAGGACGGACCAGAACGCCCCCCTTCCCATGAGGTTTTAGTCGCCCCCACACCCCCGGCTCATACCTGCTGTCCACAAGGCTCCCATGTGGCCGCCATCTTTCTTTCCAGAGGGAGGAGGGCGGAAGGGAGCAACACCCTTTCCCCTCTGGGCAGAAATGATTGCCTGGATTAACGCATAGTCCTTTCACTTTTCTGCTCCAAGCTGCTGGGTTCTGCATTAGGTCATTGTGCTTCTGGGGCTGTGGCCGTGCTGGAGAGCCGCTCGTGTGGGCAACTGGTGGCCTTGGTAGGGCATGAAGGGCGGACCGAAACGCCCCCCTTCCCATGAGGTTTTAGTCGCCCCCACACTCCCGGCTCATACCTGCTGTCCACAAGGCTCCCATGTGGCCGCCATCTTTCTTTCCAGAGAGGAGAGGGCGAATGGGGCAACACCCTTTCCCCTCCGGCAGACTTGATGGCCTGGATCAATGCATAGTCCGTTCACTTTTCTGCTCCAAGCTTCTGGGTTCTGCATTAAGCCCTTGTGCTTCTGGGGCTGTGGCTGTGCTGGAGAGCCGCTCGTGGGGGGCAACTGGTGACCTCGGTAGGGCGTGAAGGACGGACCGGAACATCCCCCTTCCCATGAGGTTTTAGTCGCCCCCACACTCCCGGCTCATACCTGCTGTCGACAAGGCTCCCATGTGGCCGCCATCTTTCTTTCCAGAGAGGAGAGGGCGAATGGGGCAACACCCTTTCCCCTCCGGCAGACTTGATGGGCTGGATCAACGCATAGTCCTTTCACTTTTCTGCTCCAAGCTGCTGGGTTCTGCATTAAGTCCTTGTGCTTCTGGGGCCGTGGCCGTGCTGGAGAGCCGCTCGTGAGGGGTGACTGGTGACCTCGGTAGGGCGTGAAGGACGGACTGGAACGCCCCCCTTCCCATGAGGTTTTAGTCGCCCCCACACCCCCGGCTCATACCTGCTGTCCACAAGGCTCCCATGTGGCCGCCATCTTTCTTTCCAGAGGGAGGAGGGCGGAAGGGAGTAACACCCTTTCCCCTCTGGGCAGAAATGATTGCCTGGATTAACGCATAGTCCTTTCACTTTTCTGCTCCAAGCTGCTGGGTTCTGCATTAAGCCCTTGTGCTTCTGGGGCTGTGGCCGTGCTGGAGAGCCGCTCGTGGGGGGCAACCGGTGACCTCGGTAGGGCGTGAAGGACGGACCGGAACGCCCCCCTTCCCATGAGGTTTTAGTCGCCCCCACACCCCCGGTTCATACCTGCTGTCCACAAGGCTCCCATGCGGCCGCCATCCTTCTTTCCAGAGAAGAGAGGGTGAATGGGGCAACACCCTTTCCCCTCCGGCAGACTTGATGGCCTGGATTAACGCATAGTCCGTTCACTTTTCTGCTCCAAGCTGCTGGGTTCTGCATTAAGTCCTTGTGCTTCTGGGGCCGTGGCTGTGCTGGGGAGCCGCTCGTGGGGGGCAACTGGTGACCTCGGTAGGGCGTGAAGGACGGACCAGAACGCCCCTCTTCCCATGAGGTTTTAGTCGCCCCCACACCCCCGGCTCATACCTTCATACCTGCTGTCCACAAGGCTCCCATGTGGCCGCCATCTTTCTTTCCAGAGGGAGGAGGGCGGAAGGGAGCAACACCCTTTCCCCTCTGGGCAGAAATGATTGCCTGGATTAACGCATAGTCCTTTCACTTTTCTGCTCCAAGCTGCTGTGTTCTGCATTAAGTCCTTGTGCTTCTGGGACTGTGGCCGTGCTGGGGAGCCGCTCGTAGGGGGCAACTGTTGACCTCGGTAGGGCGTGAAGGACGGACCGGAATGCCCCCCTTCTCGTGAAGTTTTAGTCGCCCCCCACACCCCCGGCTCATACCTGCTGTCCACAAGGCTCCCATGCTGCCGCCATCCTTCTTTCCAGAGAAGAGAGGGCGAATGGGGCAGAAATGATGGCCTGGGTTAACTCATCGTCCGTTCACTTTTCTGCTCTAAGCTGCTGGTTTCTGCATTAAGTCCTTGTGTTTCTGGGGCTGTGGCCATGCTCCAAACTTAACTCTGATTTTCAGGGAGAAAGATTGGGTGGTTTACTTCTCATTGATCACTTTGTATATAGAGAGAAAAAGTCCTCGTTCCCGCATACTCGAGCTGTGTTTGTAGAGGCTTCTGGTCACCAGGGTTCCATCTGGGGGAGGCGAGATGCGGCGCCTACTCCATCTGGAACTTGCCGGTGCTCTCGGCTCTTTTTGGAACCTGTTTTTTCTTTTTTCTTTTCCTCCGGGATCCCGCACCCTCCATGTGTTCCTTCTCTTATTCTGAACGCTTCAAAGATGGCGCTCTCAGTTTCATCTTTGACATCACATACAGTCTCCTCAGCAATGCCAATGGTTGTTCACTTCTTAGCACAGAGTCAGAAATAGGTCCTGAGTATCACCACCCCCTTCTGCCTGGCCAAAGTTTTCTAAGAGAAGCAATCTTATCTGTCTGATCCTAAGCCATGCTTCAAGAACAAAAATTGATAATTTTTTTGGATTATCTATGTCTTATATGCATGACTTGGTCAGAGCCAGTTTGTATTGGCTTATAAAAGTGCAGCGTTACATTTTCAGGCATTTTATATGCTGTTTGATGGCCAATACAAAGCTTAAAATCCTCTGCCATGGCAGCATTTGCACCATGGAAAGTGGCACATGCTACCAAGGAGAGTCTTTCTCCCTCTTGCAAAACTGGTTGTTAAACACTTACCAGCTCACCAAAAGAGTAGTTCATATTGAAGACGCCTTTGCTATGGAATCTTGTGTTAGAAAATTTCATGTTTCTTTGTTTTTTTCCCTGTGTCTTCAGGGATACGAAAGGATCGACGAGGGGGGAGGATGCTGAAGAATAAGCGCCAGAGAGATGATGCGGATGAAACGAAGGAAGGGCCTTCTGGGGAAATGAGAGCTGCCAACTACTGGCCGAGTCCTCTCTTGATCAAGCACACCAAGAAGAACAGCCCGGCCTTGTCCCTGACAGCTGATCAGATGGTCAGCGCCCTGTTAGAGGCTGAGCCGCCTATAATCTATTCTGAGTATGATCCAACCAGACCATTCAGCGAAGCGTCCATGATGGGTCTGCTGACCAACCTGGCAGACAGGGAGCTGGTTCACATGATCAACTGGGCAAAGAGAGTGCCAGGTAAGGAGACAGAGCACGGTTTGAATTGTTCAGAGTGAACAACTGTTCCTGAACGATGTCATGGGGAAAACAGTGGGAAGCAATAGTTGGTCATCTAATTAGTTTCAAGGTTGGCTCACTGTAGTCAACTAATGTCTGGAGGAGAGATGGCACATGGATGATCACTTAATCACTTAACTTCCCGTTAGTTGTCGATTTGCTCGAGCGGGCGCCAGTAACGTCTCCATTTGTCCCTGTCGCGTGCTAGTGTAGCCCAATGGCATCTATTCGCTCAGGGAACATGAAGGGCCTCAAACCGATCGTTCATGATCTTGACAAAGAAGTCTGACCATCTGGTAGGTGGGCAGCCACGCGGTCTTTTGACATCCCGTGGAATCCAGTCAGTAACAGCTCTAGTCCAGCGGCGTCTTTAAATCTCATTACGTGACCAGCCCATCTGATTTTCGACACCTTGGCAAATGAGACAGTGTCGTGGATGATGAAAATGAATAAATTCATTGACATGGATGATGAAAATGAATAAATTCCCCCTAGTAAGTAGGAAATCATTCTTTAAAAATTAAAATCACAAAGGTTAAAGTTTTTAATTAATTTATGTTTAACCTGTCCTATTTACCAGTCATGCTGGCATGTGCAGGATAACGTTGTTTTGTCCTGCCTGCACAGCCTCAGGTAGTTTAGATTTTTTGGGTTGCCCCCATCACAGTGCTTCCTTTCATCTGTGTTTGTCGTCCATTGACTTATAAATATTGCTTTTTTCTTCTCTTTAAGTCCTTTGTATAGTTTATTCAGAGCAATGTCCTTTTTGTATGGACACAGGAAGACAGTAGTAAGGGCTATGCTTTTGTTATGTGGGAGTCATTTGACTCTAAATGATATTTTCTTCCTGGGCATCTGTTTTCTCGACCTGGGCTTCAGTTACCCTTACTTCTGAGCACCTCCAAAAGCAGGGTCCCGACGAGGGACTGGATGGACCCAGGGCAAATGGTGAGCTATGTGCTACCCTGGCATCAAGATGGGCCTGGCCAAAGTGCCTCATGCTTAACTATAAGTTAAGAGCTTGGGCATGGACAAATCCTGTCATGATCCAGAAAGTAATAACTAGATTTGGACTGCTAGGGTTAGTAATGATTAATGGACATTACCGAACAAATGCATTTTATCTAATACTCTAACTCTAGGGAAATCAGGCTCAGCAAGTTTTTAATATCAAGATGTTTGTTTAGAACATCTTAATATTAACAAACAATTTTATCTTGTCAAAGATTTAAGGTCCTTATGGGCTAACAAGTTAATGATAGTTTTTATTAAATGCCAGTTTTCTACTCAACCTAGCCTATTATTCATATTTTAACAGATAAGAAATATGAGAGAAAACAAAAGTTGGTTCTTATTCTAAGGAACTTGTAGAAAAAGTGGAATAATTAGCACTTGATACATAAGTTGATTTTCTAGGACTAGTGTTGCTGTCAAACAACAACCTTGTTGTTCTGGGAGAAGAACTCTAGTTATTTAGACAACAAGCGCCAAATCTCAGGAGTTAATGTACATACACAAAAAAGGCCAAAATAAGTTAAATAAACTTCCCTGAGCTTAAAGGTCAAAGGAGTGATGTGATGAATTTAAAGAAAAATTTTCATGTCTTATATCTTTCAGCACATAAATGAACTATTACCAGAAGTGTAGTATGGATTTTGGTTAAACTAAAATAAGTACATTAGTTTCCATTTAAATTTTACTGCTCTATTAGAGGCCAGACGAACTAATATCTGGCCTCCGTGAAAATCTCTTGTGTTTACATATAGTAATATAAATGTACCATACTTTGCATAAGGAGCCAATAATCTTGCAATACAAATGGCTAAAGGGCATCCAGGTATGTGGTGGTGATTGAATTATGTAAAAACAGGGGAATTAAGAGGCATGTTTTGATTGTTCAGGCTCAGAGCAACTAACAAATATAAAGTAATTTTCATATCTGGAATTAAGTTACATTTAACAAAGCCTGGCAAGCTACCCGTGATGTATTCTGTATGCCAAACACACTAACAGCAAGTCTCACAATGGAGATGTTACTGGGCCCGCTCAAGCAAATCGATGAACAATGGGAGGACAGTGCTACAGTGCTACAGCATCAATCTAGTCTCATATTTGAATGTGTAGCAACCAATGATAAGCAAATATTTGATTTTAAATACAGCTGGTTAAGGGTTTTATCTTTATATCTGCTATTGCCTTTTAAAAACTATTTTGAGAGACAAGGAAAAGAAAAGCAACTACTGGCTCTATCTTTGAGTATCAATTCTGTTTTTTTTTTCTTTTTGGGTCACATCCGGCGATGCACAGGGGTTACTCCTGGCTCTTCACTCAGTAATTACTCCTGGTGGTGCTCAGGGGACCATATGGGATGCTGGGAATCGAACCCGGGTTGGCCGCGTGCAAGACAAACGCCCTACCCGCTGTGCTACCACTCCAGCCTCTGAGTATCAATTCTGGATTGCTACCAAGTTTTATTATCCCATAGCAAATATTTCACTCTTGGCAGTATTAAAGCCTGAGCACTGTTGGACTCAAGTACATATTTTTAAAATTGTTTGCCGTAGATTCCTACCATGGCAATTTTATAATTGTAAAAATTTGGAGTATATTGGAAACAATTGGAGTTTATTCCAGATATATTTCCAGGATGAAGAAATTTATGAAGATGGTCTTCTGAATCAAAATTCAAATAGAAATAGAAAGTAAGGGAAGGAAAATATTATATCCATGACTAGTGTGATTTTGAAATATGGCTAAACCACTCTGTAAGTGATAGTTTAAGAGAGAGGGACAATCCCAAACAATTTTTGTAGAAAACATGTTATGAGAAATAAAGTTCAAAAGTGGTATTATATATGCACAGTTACATATTATTCATAGTATTGTATGACAGTTATTATGAATCAAAATAATACGTCTCTAACAAAGCAGAATAAAAATGGTGACTGAATTTTTTAATATTTAAAAAATAAGGAAAAAAGGGCTTCCAGAAAAAACTAAAGATACATATCAAGCTTTTCAAAAACATTGGTAGTGGAATTTTGAAACTTTTTCATATAGCAAATTATCATGTCATTAAAAAATATATCATGCTGAATAATAGCCCATAATGAGAATCAAATATAGATATATTAAATTTATATTATGCTAGCTTGAGAATAGCAGTAGTCATAATCTTAAAAAGAGGAACTAGAAAGCATAATTAGTAAGAAGAGTAATAAGTAAAAAAACTAACTCTAGAAATAGTGAGATTTATATAAGTGATACAATAATTTACTTGAGACATTTGGATAATCCCTAGATGTCTCTCAAATAACAAAAATTTATTGAGGTTATTCTAAAAGTTTAATAATTTGTATCATAATTGATAATTAAAATAATAAGGTAGCTAAAATATATCTATCATGGTAATCTGATATACCTAAAGATAATGAAAAGATTCCTTATATTTAGCCGATACATCACATTTTATATTTATTATATATATTTATGTTTTCAGGTGAAAAATTTTAGGTTCCACCCTCTTAGTAAATTTCAAGTTTACAATACAGTATTATAAGTTACAGTTATAGTTATCATATTTTATATTAGATTTTTAGAACTTTTTTATAGCTAAAAATGTGTACTGTTGTGCAAGTGTCTTCCTGTTTTATTCCCTTCCCTTACAATCACTTTTTCACTTAAGAGTTTTACATTACCCCAACACAGATAAGTCATACGATGCAATGTTTCTCTCTTTATGTTGTTTTATACACTGAGAATAATACACTTAAGATCTATCCATATTGTCACAAAATCATGATTTCCATCTTTCTCATGATTGAATAAGATTTCATATGTATGTCTTCCTTGTCTAGTCATCTGTTTAGTGACAGCTTGATTGCATCTGTATTTGGTTCTTATGAATAACATTGCGGTGAACATGGGAGTTCAGATATCTCTTCAGTATCCCATTTTTAATTACACTGAATATATAACTGGATGTAAACTTGCTGAGTCATATGGCAGTCTTATTTTTAAAATTTCAGGAACCTCTACATTATTTTTAAAAGTCAGGGCATCAGTTTATATTTCAATGCACAATATACAAGAATTCCTTTTTATTTTTATATTCTCATCAGATCTTTTTATCTGTTATCTGTAGTGATAGCAAATCAAATAGCTGTGAGATGATAACTCTTTAAAAAGTTTGTTGCTCTGCCCATTTTTTAAATTATTACTTTTGTTTTTGGTCTGTGTAAGAAATTTATGTATTGAAAATTAACACCTTATCAGGTACATGGTTCACAAATATTTTCACCCATTCAGTAGGTAGCTTTTTTTGTTTTCCTAATGATTTTCTGTGCTATACAGAAGCTTTTTAGGTTTGTGGCCTTCCTAGTTTATTTTTGCCGTTGGTGCTTTGGCTGTTTGAAGTCAGATCCAAAAAATAATTGCTAGTATCAATGCCACAGGGCTTTAGGGCTGGAGTGATAACACAGTGGTAGGGCATTTGCCTTGCGTGCAGTCAACCCGGGTTCGATTCCTCTGCCCCTCTTGGAGAGCCTGGCAAGATACCAAGAGTATCTCACCCACATGGCAAAGCCTGGCAAGCTACCTGTGGCATATTCGATATGCCAAAAACAGTAACAAGTCTCACAATGGAGACGTTACTGGGCCCGCTCGAGCAAATTGATGAACAATGGGAGGACAGTGCTACAGTGCTACATTTACAGGTTTTTAAGTCTTACGTTCAAATTCCCAATAGATTTTGAGTGGATTTTTACCAAGAGTATCTTGCCTGCACAGCAGAGCCTGGTAAGCTACCCGTGATGTATTCGATATGCCAAACACAGTACCAACGAGTCTCACCGTGGAGGCGTTACTGGGCCTGCTTGAGCAAATCGATGAACAATGGGAGGACAGTGCAGTACAGTGCATTGCAATGAAAATTTGGGGTCCAGTTTCATTTTTTTGAATGT